CCCCGTCCCACCCCCATCCCCATCGCTGTCCCCATCCCCGTCCCCATCCCCGTCCCAACCCCATCCCCGTCCCCTGTTCCCGTCCCTTCTCACCCCCCGCCGGCCGGGGACGGGGCTCCCGCCGCCCCCCTCACCCCGGGAATCCCGCCCCGCTCCTGCCCTGCCAGTATGTCCAGCTTTGGGGGTGTATGTGGGGGGTGGTGGTGGTGTATTTTTTTTCCTGCTGTTTTCTCCGATTTCTGGTGAGTTTCCTTCTGTCCAGCGCAAGCCTCTGGACAGGAGCTCCCCCGTGTGTTCCTCCTCCTTTCTCCTGCTTTAACTAAAATGCGGAGAGACCGTGGAAATAGGGCACCTGGGGGGATGGGTTTGGCCGGGAGAAGCTGGTACAGCTTCTTTTTCTTTGGAAGCTGGGCAGGAGCAAGAGTTTGGCAGAAGGGGGATGTTGATAGTGATTTTGGGGATGTGCCTGAAAGGGGACGGACACCTTTTTGATAGTGACCATCTAACAGAAGAGAAAGCAGGGCTGGGGCTGGTCCTGTTCAGCGGAGGCATGAGGCATGTGTGCACTTCTCCATCTTCTGTAGCCTGAGAGCAGATGAGTTTAAGGGCTGTCAGGCACAGCAAAAGGGGAAGGTGGGGGGTTTTATGTTCTTTTGTGGAATCGCTGTCAGCTTCATCCTTTGGAGTTACTGCAGTTTCCTCCTGTTTGTGAGGAGACATCTGTGCACTGGCATTAGCTCAGGTGGCCACAATAAATGGGACCATACAGGCTCACTCACAAGCCTGGGTGTTTGCGTCCATAGCTGTGATGCTACGGTCCCACTGCGGCTGGCATTTCACCTGGAAAAGACTGCAGGTATCCATCCGTATAGCAGTCACCCCTTTGGGCTGCTGTGATCATCAGCCATGACTTTAAGCAGCTGGAGGGTTGGGTGCATTCCTGATCCGTCAGCCCAGCAGCACAGGAAGGCGGCAAGGCTCCGGCACCCGTGCTGGTAAGCATTGCACTGGCTGGAAACCTCCACTTGTCTGATACCAGCTGGCCAAAGACTGTGAGGAGGTCAACTAAGCTCAGCAGGTGATGGTACAGCTGTTCACGGAAATCTTTCTGGAAATGGGAAAACAAATCTCACTTTTTTTTCAAGTGTCTTAAATAGTCAGTTCCTCCCCACTGCTTATTCCGCAGACTCACTCTGCATCTGCCGGAGCTGCAGCAGGGTTGGTTGGTGTGGTGGCCAGTGGAGCTGCTCTGCGCCACATGCGACAAGAATCCAGCCAAACCCATCTCTCCTCTCCTTCCCTACCCTCACCTTGATGGAGAAGATGGTTACTATCATCTTTAGTGGTGTTTTATGTCAATTCTTGTAGAATAAATTGGAAATAACTGGAAATAACTATTAACACAGACATGGTCCAACTTCCAATGTTCACACAAGTGTCAGGGTTTCAAACACTGAAAACTGCTGGCTTTGTCCCATTGTTGCTGTTATGTATCTTGATAAACTTCTGAAGAAATGTAGAGAGGAAAAATTATGGGGCTTTAAGGCTGTTAAATGTCACTGGTGTGTTTCTATGTTTCCTAACAAGCTTTTTTCTCTCTCCCCGCCCCCCCAACTTTTAAAGGATCTGAGCGGGGAGATCTCTTGTTCAAGCCATACCCTTCTCAGTCTGAATTTTGTGGCATTGCTGCTTTGCTTTGCAAACCAGTAGTCCCCAAAGAAGCGTGCCTGCCTCTGCCAGTTAGCATCCAGGTCGGAGGCCTTGTGTTGCTGTCCTGCAACAGCCAAGTCGTGGCAGCTTCCTTCTGTGCTCTATTTGTGGCTGTGAAAACGACAGGCCCCCTCTCCTCTCGATCTGAACTGTAACAAAAATCCCAGCCTTCATCATGGGAGATATCTGGCACGTTGGATTGATGGTACTTGTGTACATCTGGTTTCCCAAGGTTGCTGCTCAGAATCTCATAAAAAACCCCAGGGACCAGAAAACAGAGCATACGCTTTTGATTAATGAAGTCAATGCTGACAGCCCAGGAGAGGACACTTCTGAGTTTGTGGAGCTCTATCACACCAGCGGTCAAACAGCCCGCTTGGATGGCTACTATCTGGTCTTCTACAATGGCAATGGAAACCGAGCCTACAAGGTTTTAAACCTCCAGGGCAAAGTTACTAACAGCCAAGGGCTCTTTCTCATTGGCTCCTCTTCTGTGAACCCTGCTATAGTTATTCCTAAGAACACTATCCAGAATGGCCCTGACGCGATTGCTCTCTACTATGGAAAAGGGAACTACAAGGAGGGCATGAGCGTCACAAGTTATGGGCTAGTAGATGCCTTGGTCCATAAGACTAAGAAGACGGACAGAGCAGACACCCTGGTCAGGGTACTGACCCCTGGCAGAGATGCTTTCCTGGAGGATTCCACCTTCAGGACCATGGATGAGTCAATAGAAAGGTGCCGTGGGGAAGATTCTCAGTGGATTTTCCAAGTGGCCATGCCCAGTCCAGGCACAGACAACCACTGCATCCTAACTTCTCAGCTGAACGCATCTGCTGTCTTGATCAGCGAGGTTCTTGCTGCCTCTTCTTCTGAAGAGTTTGAGTTCATAGAGCTTCAGGGTCCCCACTCCACCATGCTGAGGGACATTGTTCTGGTGCTGATCGATGGTCAGACCAAAGACATTTATTTCACCATGGATGTTTACGGCAAAACCTCACTGGATGGGCTACTTCTGATCGGTCCAGCACAAAGCAAAACCTCAGGTAAGGACTGCATTTTGATGACTACCTCAGAGATAGGGGAGCGATCAGCCAATTTTGGGTCTGGAGGATGCTGTTATTTGTTACTGTTGTTTGGTGTTCTGAGATTGGTGAAAATGTGACTCCGAATTCAGTGGCAGATAAAAAAGCAAATGAAATGTTAGAGATTATTGGAAAAGGAATTATATAAAGCAAATTAAATATTAGAAGTTACTAGGAGAAGATGAAAGAATGGATGGCATCTTTTATGCTACTGTGTAAATCCATAGTTTGTTTCCATCTTTAACTGTGTCTTGTGTGGTACAATACCTTAATCTCAAAAAGGCTATATTAGAATTGGAGACATTCAGAGAAGATCAGCTAGGATGGATAGTGCTCTGGAAATGCTTTCACATAAGAAATAACTAAGTACACGAAGAAAAGAGAAAGCTTATGAGGGCCCTGACAAACGTTTTGGAAATGTGAGTAGCCTGAAGAAAGTAGACAGGGATCTCTTGCTTACCTTTTCTCCTTGTACAAGAACTAAAGGGCATCAAAAGAAGGTAGAAGGATGTGGTTTAAGGACAAAGCAGAGGTGGTATGTCTCGCAGAAGTGGTAGACCTGCAGAGCTCCAGGTGAGGGACCTCGTGGAGGTCAGAAGACCACGTGTGCCTTTGCTGCTTGGGAAGACACGGTTCCGCTCCCAGCCCTGTGGCCAGCCTGCTGTGGGACCCTGACTGTGCCACATCTCCTTGGAGTGTCCCCCTTCTCTATGTGTAACTTGGTGGTCATTCACAGCAGGTACATACTCTCGTCTCGAGAAAGCACAAAGGCTTTTCTTCCATTGCGCCATCTGCAAATGTAGGTGACACATGTATTGGCTGTGTTAAGCTGCAATCTAAACTTCCTTCCAATGGTCAACATTTCTTCCAGGCCACCTGAGGAAAAAGAAATATCTTGTTATTTTGGGCACCTCAAAAGTAGATTTTGGCAGCTGGAGACACTGACTCTGCAGATGTCTTGTGTAATTCACTGACTCATGATTTCTGAGTCAGGGAGAATATTCATTCCTTACAAAGCTGGTTCCCGTAAAAATAAAAATAGTTTTGCAACTAAAACTTTTTTTTTTAAAGCAGTTGAGCTCTTTCTTACAATTCAAACTGCTCCAAATACTCTTTGACCACAAGTAGAAGAGCTGATTGTCCACTTGAGCTGTGCTTTTCTCACCAGGAAAGGTGCTCTGCTCTTACCTCTGGATGAACTGGGGCTGTTAACAGTCAACAGCTAAAGGGGGGGTGGGGTGTCAAAGAAAGTGATGTGAAAGCACAATCAACTTGCAGACTAAGCAGGAAATTTCTAAGGATTACATTTAACTCTTCCTCAAGGCTCACTCAAGTCAGGAAAGTAATTGGACATATGCTTTGGCATTTTTTTTTCCAATGATGCCTTGTCAAGATGTCTCAAGCATGCTGTGCACACATTTTTGTGGAAGGTTTTAACCAAAAAACACCCAATGACACTGTGTGATTACATTAATCATCTTAAAAGGGTACTTTCATAGTGACTCCATGCTGAGCACTCTGTGAGATGTTGATTTAACCTGACCACTTCAGATTTGGGACAGGAGCTCTTTAAATGGCCCCAGCTGTTAGTCCTGTCTTTGTATGGCTTGTCTGCCTATCACAGCAGAGACCTTAAAGCTGTGAGAGCACCAGAGCAAAAGTCCTCCCTTGACAGATGCCAGTGTGAAAACTTTCAATTGAATCATAGAATGGCTTGGGTTGAAGGGACCTTTAAAGATCATCACAGTTCCATCCCCCCTGCTGTGGGCAAGGACACCTTCCACTAGATCAGGTTGCTCAAAGCCCTCTCTAACCTAAGCTTGAACACATCCAGGGGATGGAGCATCCACAACTTCAAGGGGCAACCTGTTCCAGCATCTCACCACCCTCATCGTAAAACTTCTCTTCCTTGTTCTTCGAATCTAGATCTACCCTCTGTCATTTTAAAAACATTACCCCTCATCCTATCAGTACAGGCTCTGGTAAAAAGTCTGTCATATAAGCCCATCTTTCTTATAAGCCCCCTTTAAGTATTGAAAGGCCACAAGAAGGTCTCCTCAGAGTCTTCTCTTCTCCAGGCTGAACAACCCCAACTCTCTCAACCTTTCTTCATGGGAGAGGTTCTTCCAGCCCTTGGATAATTTTTGTGCCCCTCCTCTGGACCTGCTCTAACAGGTCCATGTCCTTCTTGTGCTGGGTCCCCCAGGGACAGCCACAGTACTCCAGGTGGGGTCTCATGAGAGTGGAGTAGAGGGGGAGAACCACCTCCCTTGACCTGCTGACCACACTTCTTTTGATGCAGCCCAGGATACAATGGGCTTTCTGGGCTGTGAGCGCACATTGCCAGCTCATGTCCAATTTTTCATCCACCAGTATCCCCAAGTCCTTCTCTGCAGGGGTACTTTCTATCCATTCATCCCCCAGTCTGTACTGATACTGGGGATTGCCCTGACCCAGGTGTAGGACCTTGCACTTGGCCTTGTTGAACTTCACGAGATTCACATGGGGCCACTCCTCCAAAGTCCCTCTGGATGGCATCCCTTCCCTCAAGTGTATCAACTTGGTGTCACCAACCTCTCAGCTTGGTGTCATCCACAAACTTGTTGAGGGTGCACTCACTGCCTATGTCATTAATGAAGATGTTGAACTGTGTTGGTCCCAATACGGACCCCTGAGGAACACCATTTGTTACTGATCTCCGCTTGGGCATAGATCTGATGACTGCAACTCTTTGGATGTGGCCATCCAGCCAATTCCTTATCCATTGAACAGTACATCCATCAAACTCAAATCTCTTCAATTTAGAGACAAGGATGTTGTGTGGGACCGTGTCAAAGGTCTTGCACAAGTCAAGACAGAAGACTTCAGTTGCTCTTCCCTTATGCTCCAATGCAGTCACTCCATTGTAGAAGGCTACCGGATTAGTCAGTCAGGGGAAAAATAGTTCCCTGGGCAGGGGTGCATCAGGGTTAAGGCACGGGGCTGCCCCTTAGCGTGCAGGTGCCCTGGTGGCACTTCTCAAGGAGTAACCACTTCTCCTTACCCTTCTGCCTCTCATGTGATTCCTCCTTTAATGTTTATTCCCTGGAGCCATTTATGCAAGGAGAAGTATCAAAATAGCAGCAGTCTGCTGCTTTTTAATGTCCTCAGCAGTTCCTACTGCATGCTGGGGAAATGGCTTGTGAAAGAAAGAGTAAGTATGAGGAAGGAAATTGAGAAGCTCATGAAATTGAGAAACTCCAGCAAACCTAAACCTTAATTCTGTATACTGGCCTCTGCTGAATATGTGTGTGCATATATGTGTGTGTACGTGTGGAGTGTTTGTGTTTGTAAAAACCATGGACTAGAATGCTAGAATAAAATGTCCATTCTTAAGTATTTTTGTGTACTATTAAAGTAGCTGCTACCTGAAAGGTTAGTGGATTTTGCAGATTTCTTTTCAAATTAAAAATTGACTTTACTGCAGACAAAGTCATATCACCACTTGCTTTCCAGTTCCCCTGCTTACTCATGAATCAGCTTCGCTGTTCGCAGAACCGAAATAGCAGGACGAACTCTGCTCAGATTTCCCCCTCCAGCCTCCTCTACACTGTGGATCTGGTCACGAATGGGGAAATACAGGCTGAACAAATGTGAGAAATGTTAGTGAGAAGAAAGATGGGGTAGCAGATGCCAAATTTGCAATAGCCAGACAACCCCAGCCACTTTCTGAGTTCCTGTGTCCTGATCTCCAGGACCCATCTGATGCTGGTTTCCTACACAGTGGGTATTGCTCATGTGTTGCTTACGTGCCATTGTTGCTCCTTTCCTTGCTGGTCTGCAGTGGATCTGCCATTCCCGGAGAATACCACCCGTCCTGTCCTCAGAGGTGGCCCCAAAGCCATTGCCCTCTACAGAGGCAACAGCAGCAGTTTTGTCCCGGGGAAGGCTCTGCCAGTGACCGGCCTGTTGGATGCCTTTGTGTATACAAGCAATGAGGAACCGAACCCTGAGCTGCTGGAGATCCTGACCCCTGGCAGACCTGCCTACAAGGAAAAGCGGTGAGATGCTTCTCGCTGGACAGGGCTGGGAGGAGAGGTTGGCACCAGAGTTGCCCTTGCCTGCTAGGGTCACCCCTGCTTTGTGCCCCAAACCCCAGTCGGGACTGGAAGACAAGTGCCACCTCCAGACCAGGGTCTCCTCATGGCACTATTGAGTCCCGGCCTTTTTCCACTGCCTGGTCTAAGTTTGTAGGTGAGCCCCTCTCCACAGTAGTCCTGGTGCAGCTGTACAGTTGCAGAATAAAGTACTCAAGGAGCAATTTTCTGACCAAATGATTGCCGGTTATTATTTAATAATTTTAATTATTTATTGTTTATAAAAGTGTAGTGGTCAATATAATAAATTTTCCAGTACCACTTTCAACAAGAAAAGAGTTTTTTTAGGTTCAGGATGGAATTTCAGGTCAAAATGAGGACGAGGGAGGGACTTCAGCATCACTTGCTTGACCCAGGAGGAAGTCCCTGCCCTGCTTCATCCAGACTAAGGACTGGAAGTGGGGTTACTGTTCATTCTGGGTTGAGCCACTTTCTTTTTGGGTTTTGGGTTTCTTTTTGTCTTTGTGGGTTAAGTGAAACATTAATAACCTCAGACTTTTGTGAGACATGAGAACTGTTTCCTTCACATTTTAGGCATGCTCTATGAACAGAAGAAAGAGGACAACAGAGTGGGTAAAGGACAGTGGAGCAGGTGGAGGAGCAGAGGCAGCTAGGTGCTATGCACATGAAGATGGGGTGGGGTGTGTGGAACCAGACAATAAGCAAAAAAAAACCCTGGGCAAGCTCTTGTCTGTGGTTTTGACGGCAAAGCAGGAGACTTGGCTTCTGCGTGTAATTGTCAACCAAATACCAATCACAGAATCATAGAATCACAGAATGGTTTGGGTTGGAAGGGACCTTTAAAAGTCATCTAGTCCAACCCCCCAGTCATCCTCTTTGCCTTTGAGTTGAGGGCTCTTGCTCAAGCATTTCATTCTCAGGTGCTGCCTTTCCAGTTTCTCTAGCTGCACCCCACCATTCTTCCCAATGGTCCCAGGCTGAGCATGAGTGTGTCTGCACTATCTTGCCTGTCTTCAGATCAGTCAAAAAAGCAGCCAGTGCTAGAAGAAAAAGGGTTGGATGAAGCCCATGCTCTTCTCTCTCAAGATTTAGTGAGGTCTTGTGGGGTTTTTTGAGACAAGGAGGTACTGATGAGGATGGGATATCTCTTCAAACCTTGTGAAGGGAGAGGACTATAAGTGCATGGTTTCACCCTCTGGTGCAGGCAGGAGTGACTGGTGGGTGAAGACCACTCAGGTCGCTGGCTGGCAGGTCATGTTTTCTTTCATTTACATCTCTGTCTCTTGCAGGGACCAGCTGGGAGATGTGTCCATGAACCAGTGCAACTGCTGCTCAGTGACCCGGGACTCCTTGTCCTATGTCCTCAGCAGGCCCACACCTGGCAAGTTCAATGATTGCCCCAGCAAACGCTTCAGCCAGACTCTCTCCTTCTGCCTTCGTGTAGCAGGTGGGTATTAGTTATTTCTGCTCCTATAGGCAGGACCTCCTAAGGACAAGAGCATGTGCACAAAGCCAGAGCTGTCCAGGAAGACCACACAGAGTCATGCTGGGTTTTGTGAACATAATACCAAAGGAAATGCAACTAGGGCATCTGACAATTTTCTGCAATATTTTTCTTCATGGCAACCCATGCCAAGCTGAGCTTCTCCAGTCTTCACTCCCACACCCAACTGCCCGGGGTGAAGAGAAGCCTTTTCGGGTCCTCTGAGTGATAAGCAGGAGCTGAGCTTCACCCATCCCAGAATGAGCTGGATCCCATGACCAAGGTTGCACTGGCTGGGTGACAGCTGGCTTTTTGTTTCCTAGATTGCCAGGAGTGGCTCCTGAAGTCAGAAGAGATTCTGATGACTCTGGTCCAGGCCCTCGATGGATCCTGCAGCTGTGGAATCTCTGCTGCCTACTTCAAAGGTGAGCTGGGCAGGAGTGGGGCAGTCTAGGGTCCACCAGTGGTTAATGCCTGTTCACTTCTGATTTTAAGCCCTGTGTTCCCTGTTGCATTCTGTCCTCCTGGTTTGGATCCCAGCTAATGTGAAATTGGTGCTGATGACAGAAATGTTGAATGTTAGGCAGACCATGTTGCTGTTCTTTGATGTTCTGCAGAGCGCTCCCATCTGCAGCTCCACCAACACACATCAGTGCTCATCTGCAGACCACCAGCTATTTTGGCCTCGAGCATTTGCAGTCAGACAGATGTGGCAACAAGGCTGACATGTCAACTAGGAGTTTGTTGCCTACTTGACCTTATGACCCATACGAACTAAGCCAAGTTGCAGCAGAAATGCAAGTGGACTTACTGGTCTGTGTTGCTTTTCTGATATCCCTACTATGTTAGTATGCGAGTGTGATGAGCACATGCAGACACATGAAGAGAAGAGCCATGACTTTGCAGCCTGCGTTGTCAGCAGTGTTATGTTTAGCTTATGTTTAGACACCCCTCCAAAGAGACTGTTCTGTTCGCTGTTGGGACTACAAGGCTTCTAAAGGATGAAGACAGCATCTGTGTGTACTGTGTGGCTCGGTCCCAGGATGCCCCTTGGCACAGGCAGAGCTCACAGTGTTGTGCGGATGGTATGAGCTGCCCTGAGTCAGTCTGACCAGGAGGGCAGTGGTGGTAGAGTTGAGCTGGTAACCTCTGTGTCTCTTCCAGGAGAAAAAGTGGGGTTTTGGTGGCATGGATGAAACTGAGGCAGTTTTCTGCTTGCCTTTGCAGAGCCAAAGGCAGCCTGCCAGGATCTGGGGCTTGTGTTTACCACTCTGCTAACTGCTAAGTCAGAGGACCAGCTGAGCAGCCTGCTGCTAGCCTTCAAGACCTTCCTAGAGACACCTGGGCTTGTGAGTTTTGACAGAAGGAACATCACAATAGAGAGCTCCTGCTTCAACGATATTAATGTGCCAGACTTGCCTCCAGGTACCAGTCATCATTCTTGCAGGTTGGGGGCTACAATGTGTTTGAGGGTGGACATGTGGGTCTAGCTCTCCTAGAGGAGGGTGATGTCCCTCCCTCCATTTCCCCAACTCTGGCAAAGATCCCTTCCAATTCCATCACATCCAGTTACTAAAACCCATATTGCTCATTATGTGGAATAACAGCATGCTCTGTTGTTACAGCTAGCATTAGCCAGAGTATTGCCAGGGCTCTTCTAAGGACCATAGAGCACACAGATTATAAAAATCTGAGCCAGCATCCTCAGTCCCCTGCTGAATTTGGTCTCATCCCAGCAAAACAATGTGCAATGTTGTATTGTTTCTCTGGGGCTCTGTGCTTAGGCCCATATTTGTGACATTTTTGCTTTCCAAGGTGTCCCATCAGAGATACCAGAAGGGACTCAAGAGCCTTCTGTGCAAGTGGCCAAGCTACTCATCAACGAGGTGAACCCAGACAACCCGGGGGGGGGAGAGGATGCAGAGTACATCGAACTCTTCTACACTGGACGGACACGCTTTGACCTCCAGGGATACTGGTTGGTCCTCTACAATGGCAAAAATAGCCGGGCCTACCAGGTGTTGGACCTGTCTGGACACCACACAGATGAGCTGGGTTACTTCCTGGTGGGGAGCAGCACCATGAGCCCAGCACCCATGATAGGGCTGCCCCCCAACACCATCCAGAATGGGGCGGACGCTGTGGCTCTCTACTACAGCAACACCACCCTCTATGCGGTGAACATGGCTGTGACTGCAGAGGGGCTGGTGGATGCTGTGGTATACACGTCCCGAATGCCGGAGAAGGCAGACCAGCTGGTCAAAGTGCTGGTACCAGGGCAGAGTATCCTGTATGAAAATGATTCTCACAGTACTGAGGATGAGTCTCTGAGCCGCTGCCACAGCCTGAGCACAAAACTCCAGAGCAGCTTCCAGGTGGGTTGATGGCAGATGTCCTTTCTCCATCCATAGTCACTGGGAGGGCAGCAGTCATGTTTCAGTATGTCCTGTGTTTGGGAGAGCGGGGTGTTCTGGTGAGCCACATCTACCTCCCGCCATCTGATAATGCTCTCACTAGCCCTCACCTCCCTGCCCCGTTCACCTGCCTATTGTTGGCCAGGTAATAGCTCCCGGCCCTGTGCAGTGTGGCTCAGAAACAGGAGATCCCTGAAGACAGCTCACACGCCACCAACCCCAGAATGGGCGAGTCTGCTTTTGGGCAGCATCCCGGACTCCTAAGTTACTCTGAGCCAGATGTGGAGGTACCTCTTCACCCCTGCTTATTTGGTGCCACCTTCAGGATGTGTGGCACAGCATGTCACATCCCTGAAACCCAGCTTCCTGCAGGGCCGATGCGTGAAGGACATGCCTCAACCACTGGTGTGATTGATTTGTGTTAATTCGTCTGAATGTTCCTTTTTATTTCAAAATGTCTGGTTTCAGATAGTCCCCCTGAAGGAACATGACAGAGTATGTATGCTTGTCCTGCACAAAGCTGGGTAAGGGAGGGCTTTGCTGCTCCACTGCTGATGCCTGCTGGGATCAGGCCAGCGCAGAGGTGTGCTCAGGTCCAAAACTGGGGCAATAAAACTGCTCTAGAAGCAGAAGAGGTCTGCTGGCAGGAGGGAGGTATGTTTGCAGTGGGAAAGGACCACAAGGAAGCAATGCCATGGACTGGAGACACAAGTGTAGAAGTGCTCCCAGCAGTAGGGAAAGAGAATTGTTTGAGTCCCAAGGGTAGGAGCAAAACCAGTGATGGGGATGTGTAGTGATGGGACCCCGCAGTCAGGACAACCCTTGAACAGATGGTGGGAGTGAGGAGCAGCTGGTGTGAGGCAGAACCACTATGTCCTCTTTGGGCCTCACCAGGGAGCCGTAGGAGTCATGAACGAGAGGTAACGCCATGAGCAGCCATTGCTCCACCTGAAGAAATGGGAGCAGAGCAGTGGTGGCAGCAGCTCTTATGTCTTCCTGCAGGTGACCATGGTGACGCCGCTGGGGGAGAACTCCTGCAGCAGCTCCTCGGCACCAGTCCCTCCTGCCATCCGCATCAGCGAGCTGTGCCTGGCTGGCAGCACTACTCCACACCGCTTTGTTGAGCTGGAGGGGAAGCCTGGCACCAGCCTGGGAGGGCTCAGCCTGGTCTTCTTCCTGGGGAAGGAGGGCAAGGCACGTGCCAGCATCCCACTGAGGGGCATCATTGGAGCCACGGGGCTGTTCACGTTTGCACTGGATGGAGGGCATGGGCACGGTGAGGCTGATGGGCACGGACCTGGCGTGTGGTCTGTCTTGAAACAAATAGGCAGGTGGTTGAGCAGCTTGGAGGAAAGGGGTGAAAGAGGATGCATGGCATGGGGGACAACTCTTCCTTGCCTTTCCTGTCTTCTATTCCTGTTTTTTCTCTCTTTGTTCTGCCTGGGTTCGTTGTTCCACCAAACTCCAACTGAGACGGTGCTTAACCCTCCTCCATGCCTCTGCTGAGCTCTCCATGCAGGGCAGAGGGACTGGGAGGACTGAAAGCTCCTGCTGCTGGTACCAAGACAAGGGCTTTCAGGAGAAGCAGGGTCCACCAGGACTGTCAGGTTGTTCACTGATGCCATGTTCACTGATGCTCACTGAGCCCTGCAGTGCCACTGCCTCCTCCTGCTCCTGAGGTGGTGTTTCCTCAGCACATTCGTTTATCTTGATTTATTTTTTTGTTTACCTTAAATTCTGGCTGGGCTGCATGAAGAGGACTCTGCATCTCAGAGGAACCTTGATCTTTTTGGAAATCTATGTTCACAGCAAGCAGTCGCTTTACAGCTTTACTTGACCTCAGTCACCACCATTGTTTTGTCTCCCATTTCTGTTCTTGGAGTTCTCATTACTGGCTTGTCCTGTCAGGCTCAAGGCTCAGACTAACACTATCTAGATGTTCACCCCACCTATTGCCCTGGCATTTCCAGATGGGACAAACCTGACTTCCAAGGACATCTCTGCTACTAATGAAGGCTCCAGCGCTATTGCTGTGTACAGGACCAGCTTGATTCCTGGTGGCACAAAGGCAACATCAGAGAACTTGGTGGATGCCTTGGTTTACACATGTGAGCCCAGCAAAGCTGGAGGACACTTGGACTTCCTTGGACCATCTTATGCTGTGCCCTGCAAGGATGACAGGTGAGGTCACTTCTCTGGGAAAATGCCTTTGGATTCCCTGTGCCCAGAGCCTGTGGCTGGCATGTCACTGAACTTGCTGCCTTGTCCTGCCTCCTGTACGGCTGAATGTATTCACCAGCACTGTGATGAAAAACAGAGAGGTGCGTAGCACATTGCAATGGAAAATGTTTCCCTGCCCTTGGTGTAGGGAATTGAACTTTTTTTCCTTCACTGCTCACTTAACTCACTTCCCCCAAGGGATGTGTATGGCATCACATGAAGGCATGCAGCCTTTACAGATAGCAGCTGTATATGCTGCTTTGCCAAACTTTTTCTTTAAAAAAAACCCAAACAACAAACCAAACAAAAAAGGATATCCCTATGAGCAGCAGAACAAAACAAAACCCTACATCCCTTTCACTCCTAGGTGGACTTAACAACAAATAGGTCTGAGCGTTTCTCTTGGTGGGAATACTAGCAGAGGTCCTCCTGTCCACAAGATCACCTCTGTTAATTAAATCTGTCCTCCTCAAGTTCTCTGCTCCCCTGTTCCATATGGTGTGACAGGAGATTCTGTGTTTGTAGCCTCCCCTACGAGCACACGGGCACAGAGTGCAGCCCCACGTGCGTGGTTTTCCCAGGAAAATGAGAACTCCAGCTTCTGGCTGGCCGAAACATTGTGCTGAAACCTCACCGGGGTGGTTATTCACAAGGTCAGGGCAGCGGTTTGGTGGGAGAGCTTACATGGGCTGACTCCAGGCAGTCTCTGTCAGTCCAGCCCTGAACAACTGCATCCAGAAAAGCTGTTTCCTCACACCATGACCAAGTTTCTAAGCCCTGGGGAGGGGAGGGAAGCAATAGGTTAGTGAAATGCAGGGGCAGATATTGTGTAGCATGGAAAATTTGTTATCCCGGAGGACAAACTCTTAATTTTGGGAGACTGGCTGTAATGAGGCAGCAATCTTACTCCTACAGAAGCCAGTCAGACCAAATAGCTTTGCTCTGGCCAAGCCCAGGTCTTATCCAACTGGTGGGGTTGGCTGGACCCATCTCTGTGATGGCTCTGTGAAAGCTGATTTCAGCTCCAGCTCCAGCAAACTCTCCATCATCCCCAGCAGCACCAGGAACTGGGGCCCAGGGGGGATTTGTGGTTGGAGGTGGGAAGAAAGGTGTGTGACATGTTGGTGAGCTCTGACTCCTGGAGACAGGCCCATGTCCCTGAGCCGTTGTGCCTGCGGCAATGCCAGCGCAGAACTGCAGTTTGCCATCTCGGACCCTACCCCTGGTCTGCAGAACAGCTGTCCCCAGGATGCCTTCGCCGTGGATCTCCACCTCTGCCTCCTGACACCCAGTGAGTGGAGCTGGGTGACCCCACTGGTATGGGGTGGGAGTGCTGGGATGGGGGGCTGACCCCAACTTCCCATGGCCTGGGAGGGGGATGCCGACAGGAAACCTTCTGCCTCCCAGTCGTGAAAGGGGACATGCTGGGGGAGAGCTGGTACAGCCACCCATGCGTTGATGTGATGCCACCATCCCAAGAGGGCAGCCTCGCTCACAGCTTTAGCGTGTGCTTGTATGAAGGTGGCCATGTATTTCATCTGAGGTGTCTCTGCTCAGGCAGGGCCAAGCCCTTCTCAGGATTTCTTTCTGCAGTGTTAGATATGCAGCAATGGCAGGAAAGCCCCCCCAGGTCTCTCGTGATGGCAGGGTCAGGGTCAGGGAAACTGCCAGCAAACCCTCCTCTCTCAGTCCATCCGTGGGAACAAAGTGGTGTGGCTCTGTCCTGACTCCGGAGCCAGCAAGTAAAAGTACAGTGGGGTCTCCAGCCCCTGCAAAGGCTGTGCTTGGATCAGCTTGGGCAGTCAAGACCTGGGTAAAATGAAAAGGAGGTTGTTCCTCCTCCTCCAGCCTCCTGAGAGGGGCAGGCTGTAGACCTCTCCTTCCTCTCCCAGCATGAGAGACCACTCTGTACTGGCCCATGTGGTGGGACACGTGGACCATGCCTCTTCCCCACTCCCCTGGGAGGTCAGTGGAGGAGTAAAGCTGGTGTATGTGGTGGTAGAAGGCCAGAAGTGAAGACTCACCCTGCAGGAGGCAGGCAGAGGAAGATGGGATGCAGAGGAGGGTGGGATGCAAGCTTTGGAGGAGCTTTGCTCCTGAGCTCAGATGTGAAGCCAAGTGTTTTGGAAAGGGCACACAGCTGGGAGCTTATTAACAGCCCCAAGCTGCACCCAGAAAACCACTTCTCCTTTTCCTCTAGACTGTTCCACGTGGATCCTGCACCACAGGAGGATGCTGAAAAGCTTGGGAAGGGTCTTGGTGAGCTCCCTAGAGGAGAAGTGCTCCTGCGGTGTCTCTGAGCTCTACCTGCAAGGTTGGTGCCCTACTCTGCGCACCCAGTTTGCAGTGCCCTCCTCCCTTACCCATCCACATGGTCATCAGGATAGTCCCTTCTCAAGCCAAACTTGGAGGCTTGCACTCAAGTGAGGGGAACTGGAGGAGCAGTGGTGGGTACATGGAATTTCAGTGGGGAGAGCAGGAGAGAGCCTGACACAGGCTGCTTACTAGAGGAAGGGCAAGCTAGAGGGACCGTGAGGAATGGAAGTCTCTGATGATGCCTTGAGATGTCTGCCAGACAAACTGAATATCCTAAACCTGCAAAGCAAAAAGCCATTTGCACTCTAGAGGACTCTGGTTCTCAACTCTTTCTCTGTCAGACTCCTTTAGTGTCCTATACTTATTCAAAGTACCTGGACCAAAAAGTCACTTCTGGAAGTCTTAGGGAACTACAGCTTTTGAGGGATGGAAAGAAATGTTTCCTATTTTTTGACTGGTTTTGTAAGGAAATGAAGGCTTTGCAGCCATGCTTTGTCTCTGTTGCCCAAACACCTTTTTGACCCTTTGAACAATTTCAGACAACTCTCACCAATGGGTAGGGATTGGGAATTTACCAAGTGTAGTACAAAGTATTCTGCCAGGTAGAGAGGACAACTCCAAGTCCCTTTTGTCACTGAAAGAAAGGTTGAGCATGTGCTGAAGTTACCTGCAATACAGCATGGTGGTGTGATTTCAGAGGTGAGGAGAAGAGAGTGAAGAGCATGGGAGCAGGAGGGTGTTACTGGAGCAGGGCATGAAGTCATGGGAGCGATGTGTTCCCAAACAGCTGGAGGATTTCCAGCCACCCAAGACCCACTGTTGTTTCTCCGCAGGGCTGAACTTGACATGTGTGGACTCCCTGGTGAAGGTCTGGGGCCAGGTGTGGGCTCGGCAGCTGGAGCAGCAGCAGTCCATCGAGACCTGGTGTCAGGGCTTCCTGGCCAGGCCCCACACCTTCTCCGTGGATGACAGAGTGCTAAAAACCAGTCCTGAGTGCATCGCCCCTGGAAATGCACCGTCCGTGTCACACAGCACTGGTGAGCAGAAGGCAAAGAAGTGATCTGCTTCCAGCACAGCGAGCAGGGTTGGGGCTGAGGTCAGGCCATGTGTCCACATGAGAGGGGCATTGCAGGGCAAGCCACCAGGGACCTCTGGTGATGCTTCCCAAACGCAGCTGCCTTCTAGAAACTGGTGGGTCATTACGAGAGAGGTAATGACAGTCAGTTCCTCCAGTGTGGTGAGGTAGTCAGCCCTATTACACCAACACCACTGGAAGTTTGGGTGTCTAAATTTTCTTGTGAGACTGGTCTTCACTGGGCACCCCCTTGCTTTTGGAGCTGTCGGACACACAGCCCAGAAGCCCTGAAGCCCAATTGCTCAGAGCAGCAGCTGGCACCCAGGCTGGAGCCTGCCAGAACCAGCACACGGTGGGGGGTGCAGCCAGGGTGGGTAGAAGAGTGGGTCTCCAGATCAGGAGGCTGGGACAGCCCAACCTGTTGTTGCCCAGAGAAGTTGTGGGTGTCCCATCATTGGAAGCATTCAAGGTCAGGTTGGAGAGGGCTTTGAGCAACCTGATCTAGTGAAAGATGTCCCTGCCCACTGCAGGGGGGGTTGGACTGGATGATCTTTAGAGGTCCCTTCCAACCCAGCCCAGGCCAGCCCAACCCAACCCATTCTGTGACTGTGATTCTATGGCCTCCTGGTTGTACGCTGTGCTAGGAAAGGTCATGGCTACAGTGTTCCATCTCTGCCTTTGAACCCTCAGCTTCCTTCCAGGGCTGGGAAATTGCCCTGTTTGTCATGGGATCTCTCCTGCTCATGTTCTTCGTGGTCAGCCTGGCATTTTACTTCATCAAAAGGTGAGAAACCACTTTCCCATCTGCCTTGCATCTCTCACCCTCTCCTTCCCCAGTGCTTCCTCTCTAACCTCTGCGCAGGGACCTGCTCCTTCACTCGGGTGAACACTTACCTTCAGATGCTACATCCAAACACTCCAATATGTTGCTTCTAATGTTTGCAGCAAAGCCCCTTTGCTTTTGATGCGGCAGACTGCAGATTCTGCAGGAGGTTAAGATAATCACAAATAAAACCATGGATAATCCTAGGCATGTCAGTGGGCACAGTGTAAAGGCCATCAGTTTTACTTACAACGTGCTGTGGTGGGAGACCAGAAAGCTGAAGGCTTATGGCACGCAAGGGGCAGTGAGAGATGATGCTTTGGCCACAGGGAAGAGCTCTTCCATAGAGAGTTTAGCTTGATGGGAAACAGCTTTCATATTATAACACGACACCACTTTAAATAATTACTTGGCATTCCCTGATGTTGTCAGCAGGCAAACAGCAGCTTAACACTCAGGCTGTCTGTTTCTCTGAAATAAATGTTACAGTGGATGGGTTATTTAACCAGCCCAGGTGATTTATTTCCATTAATTTTTACTGATCTTCTTTCATCATTGGATAGGGGGGCTGATATGCAAGAATTAGAAATGAGGGAAGTTCTTAAAATACATTTGGGGAACAGAAAACTCAGTATCTATTTTTTTTAAAGGAATTTTTAAAAGTAAGTCAGATTTAGGGAAGCTCTTCCAGAATCCAGGGTGATTTTAAGCTGATGTGCCAGGTGATGGCAGGTGTTCTGCTCCTGTTTTTCCTCACAACGCTAACAGAGACCTTAGGAAACTCTGTGCCTGCTGAAGGCTGGTCATCCAGCCTCTTCACTTTAAGTGCAAAGCTGAGATACGGATTAACTGGCTTGTGCAAAAGAGCGAAGTGACTGATCTTGCATTTTTCTGTGTCTGTTGCTTTTCAGACATCCCCAAAATTACACCAACATCGAAATGAATGACCGTGGGGAGATTGCAGCAGACTTCTAATGCTCCTGGACACAGTGGCAGGGTCTAACAGCACTGGGGCCAGGCATGTGTGTCTGTGGGGGTCAGATTTGTTGTCCAGCTCCTCCACCCACCGGGATAGCTGCAAGAACCAGCAGAATGCCCAGGTGTATATATGCGTGTGTGTGTATACAAATACCTGAATTGTTTTTACACCTCAAAATTTTGACCTCAGACTCAAGGAGTTTAAAGAAACAGGCTAGGGACTTCTTCTAGGCTAAGCTTGTGCTAAGTGTGATGACCAGAAAGAAAGAAGCCCGCTTGGCTGATGCAGAGGAAGGACATATTTTGTCTCTTCTCAAGATTCACTGCTGGGTGATGAACCAAGGCCACCCCCCCCAGCAGACCTTTCCACCCAGCAGGCAAGTCCAGTTTCGAGTCCCTCTGGACTTCACTGCTGCAGTGAAAGTACAACAGTCTCCTCTGAGCCCTTCTTGTCTGGGCAAGGGGGTTGGTTCTCAGCATTGTGCCCCTCTCTGCTTGAGCAGGTCTGCTGCAGCAGCAGCCTGCACTAGGGAGACCTGCTGGGGACCACAACCAGGAGGATATCCTGCCCAGAAAAAGGGGTTAGAGGAGAGATGAATACCCAGCTCATGCCCAGGTGCAACTCTTACTTGTACGGTCTTGCCTGTATCCTGTATCTGGCCAGACAGTGGGCAGGAGCAGTGCCAGACTCCAGATCTGCTGAGAATTTGGGGTGAGGAGGGGGACCTAGGTGCAATCTGCTCAGTAAAAGATTGTTTCCTACACAAGTGTGATATATCCCTAACAGTGCAGCAACTGATGCTAGGCCTCCGGCAGCACCCTTCGTGTGTGGAGTGGTGGTCTCACCTCACAGGTTTGAGCACCCTGCGCAGCTCTGTGCATGGTGGCAGTGCCCAAGACAGATCCAGCCTGCTCGCTGGTGGGGCAACGGGTAGGTAAAATGAAGAAAGAGATCTCACGCTGTTTCTGAACTATGGTGTATATAGATTTTTACTGAACAAGGCTCTGCAGAGGGAGGGCACAAAGCATTTCTGTGATTCATCATCACAGCACTGACCCTCATGACAGGAAGCCTCGCATTTTCTTTGAGACCCACCCCCCTGCTGTGTCTCTCTTAGTTGCATCTTCTACTTGCAGGCAGCCTGCCTGTGCTGCTGAAGTCCATGGGCCACCAGCCAGATCCAGCACCAGCTGGGATGGGCAGCACAGGAGAAGCGAGGCTTCAGCTTTCCATTGCCCTGCCTCTTGTGCCAGGCAGCTCCTTTCAGTCAACAGGGCTGAAAACATGAGGCATCAGTGACCTTCTCTGCTGGGTGCCCCACATAATCCTTAGGCAGCTGCCACAGCCTCTGAGAGGTGGTTCTTCTTCACAGCTTCCTCCTGCCATCAGTGCAGCACTGCTAGAGCATGCTGATCTCGCGTGAGGTCAGATGAGCTCCATCTTGAACTGGCTGAAGTTTGGCACGGTGGGCGAGGGCTCAGCCATACTGCTGAAGGGGGCGCAGGGCTGGTTCGCTGGCACGGCGCCATGGCTCACAGTGGAGCTGAGCTGCTGCAGCGTCATCAGCACCTCCTGCTGCAGCCGCTGCTGGTGCTCCTGCTGGCGCTCCAGGCGGCACTGCCTCTCCAGCACCACGTGCAGGGCCTGGCTCAGCTTCTGGATCTCTGTCTGTACAGCATCCAGCTTTTCGGCAATGGCATGGGAGCTGGGAGCCGGGGGAAGCACTGGCCCACCCCAAGCAAAGTTTTGATTTCCAGGACTCAGAGGGTTTGGCAGAGCAGTCTGAGTGCTGGCATCTTTGACCTGGAGTAGTGGGAGACAGAAGAGAAGGGAAGGTGAAACATTATCAGCTGCTCCTTCAGTGGCGTTTATCAAGAGAAAGATTTATTCTGCACTTAGCTCCAAGGCGTGAAAGCCATCACCTTGTTGCAGACTTCTAGACCTCACCGCTCTCTGAGCTGCACTTCATCCCCACCCAGTGCCTATGCCACTGCTCCACAGGAACTCCACGTTGCCCTGCATGCTATCAGCACATGCTTAGCCATCCAGTGGTGGATGCTACTAGCTGGCAGCTGGGCTGCCCGTGCGGATGCCAGGCCTGTGTTTCCTCTCTACAGGGACACAAAGTGTATCCTGGGTTTTTCTTTCCAGCCCCTCCACTTCTTGTATTGCACCCTGAAGCAAAGGGCTGTTCTACTCTCCGAGAGGGATCACGTGCTGATTTTGAACCCCCGGGGAGCCTTTCTCCTGGAAAGGGTGTTGAACAACCTGTGTCCTCTCAAGCAGCTGGCAAGGGCTCTTGACAAATACCTGAGTGGGCTGGAGAAGGTGTTTGCTGTGTCTGAGCAGAGACAGGGCCATGGATGAAAGCTCAGTCTGACTCACAGCTTTGTTTTGTATTGAGGATGCCATGGCAAGAAAGGCAGGTACCAGTGTCCTACCATCCTCTGTGGAGCAACAGCATTGTCCATCAATGAAGCCTCCAGAGGTCAGAGCCTGCTGTGAAGGGGTAAACCTTGAGTATAGGGGCAGGCCCACAGCCATGCCACCCTGCTGGCAGCCTACCCGGGGCTGGTCCTGGGACTGCTGGGTACTTACGTTTGCCCCATGGCTCACCACAGCTGCCAGCAGAGCTGGGCTTGGTCATGGGGCTAGCTAGCTGGCTGCATGCTCACCATGGTGTGCAGGATGGCTGCAGGGACAAGGACCTGCTGGGGCAACGCATGCATGGCCACAGCCTGGGGGTCTTGTGGCATGGCGAGGCAGGGGTGTACGCATTAGGGATTACAGCAGCTGGACATGTCCCAGAGGGCGGCTGTCCTGGCTGCTGTGTCACCCCATCCTGGCCTGCCACAGCCTTTCCTCTCCTGGTGTGGCACCAAGCCACTCAGCTGCTGGTGTCCTCACGGTGGCTTGGGGAACATCCTGAGCTGGTACTGAAACCAGCCCTTAAAGAGGGGGCCTGTGAGCTAGAGGTTGGAGGCCAACACTGGCAGAAACTGGCATCACCACAGCCAGCATCACCCAAGGGCAGCAGTGAGTGCTGGCTGCAGGCGGGTGAGCAGCATGCCCCATGGCCCCAGCGGACAGAAGGCCTTCCCAGGCAAGCTCACCAAGTGCCAAGGTCAAGCATTGCTCGCGAGTGCAGCTAGCAGAGGTCGGGGGGGCATTTCAGGAGCCTTTCATCCCCTTCAGCTGCATGGTTTAGACGTAGCAGGGTGCTGTGTGGGGCCGTCCTGGCAGGCAGCACCGCACCGTCTCCCAGCTGGAGCAGATGGGCTCTCCCGTCCCACCATGCCACCTGGCATCCTACCTTTTTCTGCGGGAGGAGAGCTCTGTCCACAATCATCTTCTTCACCATCAGGGCTGGGCTCCTGGTGGGGGGTGTGACCAGCCGCTCTCGGCTGGGCAGGGGCTGTGGGGGGGTGGCTCGGCCCCCCGAAGCTGAGGGGGTGCCTGTGGAGCTGTCATCACCTGCAAGTGACAGAGAGAGAAACAACTCGAAAGGAGGCCCTTGGGGGCTCCCGGGCAGGGGACGGGGAGCCCTTTCCCTGGCCCAGCACTGCTGGGGGGTGGCCACGGTGGTGACCCCGCCACAGGGAGCCAGGCCTTACCGTTCCCGGAGGGTGGTCCCACGGGCAGGGCCTCCCCGAGCTGCCCGCCGTCCTTGCAGAGCGAGGCCACGCTAACGATCTGGATGCCCTCCTTGGTGTCTTGGCTGCCCACAGGGCCCCCGCTGGGCATTGCGGGGGGCCGGGCACCCGGCGGCTTGGGTGGCTCAGTCTCGCACCCCCGTAGCGGGGGCCAGGGCTGGTCCCCATCCCAGCCAGCTGCTGCTGACCCCGGCTCCACACTCTTCCTCTTGAGGAAGAGGTACACGGCCTGCGGCGTCACCCGTATGTCATCCAGCTCCAGCACCTTCTTGATCTTGCGGAAGCTGAGCCCAGCCCTGCGCAGCTCCACGATCCTCCTCTTGGCGTGGTCGTCCAGCCGGCCCATCGCTCCCGGCACCCCTCCTGCAGCTGGCACCTACATCCCCAGAGCGCAGCCGCTGCGGGAAGGCCAGCAGCCCCCCAGACAGCACTAAGGCCTGCGATGGTCCTCGGGGTCTGCTAGTGCTCTGCCGCCAGGCTGCCGGCCCCGGCCGTGGGTCCACGCAGCACCATCCCCAGCTTCAGGCAGTGATCCAGTTCCCAGCCGGAGAGGAGGAATGAGGCAGCTCTTCCCACCGGAGCAACTAGGGACAGCCCCAAACCTCTGCCTCAGTCACGCAGAGCCCCCTCAGAGCGGGGGGTCCAGCCTGGTCCCCCAGTCTGACAAGGGCACAGAGGATGGTAATGGGCTTGGCTCTGCCCAGTGTCCCAAACTGGACATCGATTCCCCACTGCCAACAGCACAGTGAGGAATCAGGAGCGGTCAGGATCCCGAGCAGCAGCTCGGTACCCTAGGAAGCTCGGTGCGAGTCCTGGCAAGTGGCAGTTGATTGCACGAGGCTGGCAGGTCCCGACCGGAGCCTCACATCTCCTTGGTGGCCTGGAAGGTTATGGCAAGCAGAACCAGGGATGCCCACGTTGACAACTACTGTGTGGAAAGTGTCAATGTTGCAGAGCCTGCCCTCTGGGTCTGGAGATGACACTGTCCCGTACCTTTGGGAAAAGCAAAAGCAACCATTTATATACCAGCTGTAAACAACTATAAATGTAATGACCGTACCTCCTGTGCTTCCCCTTTCTCCCCACACGCACAGCCTTGGCTGGTGGTGTCAGTCAGGGGACGGTGGCTCACGCTCGCTGTGCGTGCCTGGGTGGTGTAGTGGGGACTGTGCTGCTGGTATGGCCCCTGCGTGCATGTCTCCTCTGGGTCGCACCCCAGAGCAAAACAATGTGGCGGGACCAGCCCCTTCCCTTGCTGCAGGCATCACAGCGGGGCCAGGTCAGGATGGACAGTGTTTGGAGTTGTGTATATGTGTATACATACACTTATACCTACACGGGCA